AAACAATCTGCCAAACCCCGAGGGAGGGACATTCAAAAACCGTCTTGTATTGTTTAAAAATGTCCATTTCACTAAAGACGAAGCTGAGAAACTTTAGAATTGAAGGGAAATGCCAGGACAGTATTGGGGACAATATAGCAAAATGTGAACTGTTACATATTAGGTAATAATAATGTGTCAAATTTCTGAAACTTGATCATTGTACTTTGGTTACATAAAAGAACACCCTTTCCTAGGAGATACTTTGTACTGTGTGCATAGAAAGTTAAAGAGCAAATGAGAAGAAATGCTAAAGGTGGGAAAGTCTCGGTGAAAGGCTCTATGGGAGTTCACAACACTCACCTTTCCTGAATGACCGAAATGCTTCAAAGTAAAACCAGAGAGAGAGAGAAATGGTAACGCTTAGTTTTATTTTAACAATTTAGATATTTCTTCCCCAAAAAGATAAATCTAAATGCTTGCTCTTGGTGTATACCTCAGGTGTTAGCCTTCAAAGTACTTAAGGAGAAAGATTTGGCTTATTTAATGAAAACGCACAGAAGTTTACAACCACATTTATTAGAAAAATATTATCACTTGGAAGTTCCCTTCTTTTGAGGTCGAAGGTTCGATCCAGGGCACGGTTCTGTTTTCAGCAAACCCCCTCCACATGGCAGGAACCCCAGCTCTGGGTGCTCTCGGGCCCAGCATGGCCCAGTCCAACCGCAGACCCAGCCCACCCTCCACATGAGGAGTCATGAGAAGCAGGCAGGAGCCGGGCCTGTTCTTTCCATCCAGATGCAAGTGGAAATGAGATCCCAGAACTTGGCAGCGGCAGCAGCTGTCCAGTTTGCCTGCGGAATTTGCACTTCACCTTTTCTTCACAAACTTCTTTCTAGAAGCATTGGGATTTAACCGTCTCCTCCCGGCCCCCAAAGTGTTGTCTCGGACCTGCAGGGTAGCTGAGCGGCTGGAGATGTCGTTCTCTGCAAAGGGAGATACCCCAGCCTCATAGTCAGGGGCAAACACATCCGTTTTCTGCCGGGCCTTGCGGGAGAGTCGCAGCTGAGGGAAGCGCTGGTCCTCCGTCAGATGAGGGTTGACAGCATATTTGCCCCCTTTGGGAGCGGGAAGTGAATACTGCAAATAAGAAAGGCCATGAGAAGGACGGTGATCCATTTTCATACAAGTCAGATCCTGTCAACGTCAGCTTGACAGCTCTGGATGCAGGTGGATGACATCAATGTAGTCCCATCCACCGCCTGCTACATGCTAAGCACGTGACATGCATCTTCCCACTGGATCCTCCCCTCAACTCTAGAATGAACTCTGTAGTGTTCAGTTGCAACTGAAGTTATAAATTCAATTTTTAGTACATGTGTATTTATACACACATGTATATATTCACCGTCTCTGCCCACCTGGACAGAGACGCCACCCGAGGACAATGAGCACACCAGTTGCTTCTAAAAGCCATTCTTCATAAAGATGACCCAGAGCTGCTCAGAGAAATGGCCGATTCCAGGGCAGGGCACTATAAGAGTCGGAACATCTTGCGATGCTGTAAAGTGGAAAATGTACAAATAATTGGGACACAGAAGCCAGGCTGAAGGGCCTCTATAAACAGTGTGAACATCTAAGTAAATATGGTGATGGGTCACAGCCTGAAGACTAAAGTCGACAGACCACACTCACATAAATGAATACATTAAGAGGAGAAATTCCTCTTTACAGCAGAATGCCAGCTCATGTAGAAAGAATGACAGAATTAGAAAGTCACCCCTTGGCAACCATCACTGTGAAAACTGATTCAGGTAACTTTAACCACGAGCTGAAGTTGGATGAGAAACAGTATTACACGGCATAAGAGTATCTTTCTGTAAGTTACTCATCACTAATGATAACGTTACAGGAAATTTGTGGCAAAGTTGGAATATGGCCTCAAAGATTAAAATCTTTGTGAAATCTAAGTGAAGGTTGGGTGGGCACTATTTGTATTATTTTTGCAACTTTTCTATACATCTAAAATGATTTCGAAATACAAAGTAAAAAAGAAATTTCTTCTCGCGCATGAGAGGCAGTGGCCACCTGGAGAACTCAGTGCCAGGCTGGCTACGCTCTCATAGTCCTTTGTCTCTCAACCCTTCTCTCTTGATTCCTTGGAACAAATACATGGCCGTGTACTCAGCCGGGCCTCTCTTCTGTGCTGCGCATGTAAACACCTCTTCCTCTCTGGTCCACGGAGCTTCTGGAAATCCTGCCCACCCCAACCACGCGCACAAATCTACCCGCCACCCTGTGAATGACCGCCCTCTTGTGGCCCCACACGCACTTGGCCCTTGTCACTTACTGCCTGGAATTACTGACTATTTCTCATTAAACTGCCTGCTCCTCAGAAACCTCACCCCCATCTGCACTGATGACAGGCTCTCAGGAACTGTCCTGCAGGAACCACGAGGATTTTCTGTCCTCCGTGCGTTTTGAAGCCGGTGATAAGAGCCCTTGCTTTCCCAGCCCTAGGCCCTGCCGCTGGAGGCTGAGACACGCCACTCACCCGGAGGCCCCGCGGGTTCAGCACCTTGGGGTTGCGGGAAAAGTGCATCCGCAGGGTCCCGTCGTCGCTGACAGTCACAGAGACTTTCTTCAGGGTCTTGTTCCCACAGTGTGAACAGAACACTCGGCTCATGTCGGAGGTTGTCCTGGAGACATAAAAGCAGATGTTTCGGACTGAAGCCACAGGCAGCCAACCTTGTCCCCAGAGCACAAGATGAGTCACAGGACTCAAGAGGAGGAGGGAACGATAAGAAACGGAGAGTCTAAACAATCTCTCTGTTCAGACCCCCAAACACTGTACACGTCATAGACCAAGGCCTTCCGGCCTCATGCTGACGACATAACCAAACTGCCACCCTGTGAATGACGGTGAAGGGAAATGAACTCAGAGGTGAAGGGAAATGACACAATGAAAACTGAGCATATTGCTACCTTAATAACAAATTCTTACTGAGCTTTGTCAGGCATTCGTCTACAAGTTTCATATGAAACCAATCCTATGAGGTTGCTACTATCTTCAATTTACACAAGGGGGTAAGGTAAGGTAGCTTTCAAGATGACACAGCTCACAGGGCAGGTAAAAACCCAGGGACTCCGGCTCCAGGTTCAGTGCTCTTAACATCACTGTGCTTTCTCAGGGGCGGATTATTGCAGCTCGAAATACTGTGTCCCCACATGTGAGCCTGAGCATTAAGCCAGGAGGTGGTTCTGGAGGTGCCAATAATGTATTAACGAATCACAGAGGACACACCATATAGGCTGTTACGGTGGAATAGGTGTGGGTGTTGAGGACAGACCTCAGGGCCTTCCTCTTTTCTATCCACTAAAGCCCCAACGATGGACCTCCCACTTATGTACTTCAAAGAAAATCTCTGGCATCATTTCATCAGTATTTCAGTACTTATCACCAAGTAAGGAGGGCTCTTTGCTCCAGAACCCACACCCTAAATCCCATGCCACTACAATAAGGACTAAAAACGCCTCCCTCGATTTTCAGGTGGGCGGCCACTGGCAGTCCGTCCCAGGGGTTTCAGTGCCTGGTGGGATGAGGTATACATATGAATGAGGTACGCAAGGCAAGGCTCTCCCTCAGGAAGTTCGTAGAAGGGACAGGAAGAGAGGAGAGTGTTCGGCAGAGGGCACGGGTTCGATGATCAGCTACTTACCTGAAACAGCCGTGGCAGCGCAAGATGTAGCTCCGGGCCTCCCGGATCAGCATGCCGTTCACCGCCAGCACGTGCAGCCCCATCTGAAGCAGAACATTCTGCAGCCAACAAGTTAAAGCAGCACTGAACTCAGAGCACAACTCAATTTTCTCTAACGTCTGTGTAATGACAGTGGAAGGAACTTCACAAACCTTGGTTGGGTCCTAAAGGACTTCTGCTAAGGAAAAGCAAGCTTAGGGTGGCTCTCAAGATAAAGTAGGGCAAGGACCCAGAGTCACCTCAGAGGTGGGATCTGTGCTCAGCAATGTCTCTTAACAGAGACATTTATTTTGTCAGAGCAAATATACTCACTTCTGGCCTGGAAACCCTCTATACTTTCCCCGAGTACTTAACTGAGCAAAGAACATTGTGTAAAAGAAAAGCACCAACAGATTATGAATAGAAAACATTAAAGTTTAATGTCTTAACCCTGGCTTGTGTGGCTTAGTGGTTCGGTATCGTCCCATGCACTGAAAGGTTGCCAATTTGATTCCAGGTCAGGGTACATGCCTGGTTTTCGGGCTCGATCCCCAGTAATTGGCAGGAGGCAGCCAACTGATGTTTTGCTCTCACATCGACATTCCATCATGTTATGATTCTCTAGCCTCCAAGCAAACTAAAAATTACCGAAGAACACAGGCAAAGTTTCTAGAAACATTAAAACAGTAACCCTGTACAGACCCCCAAACCTCGCAGGGACAGGTACGACACTAAGCCCAGTGCTAACTGATGCCCTCCACCCACCTGCATGGCGAAGTCTGTGGTCACACAGCCGACCCGCACGTCCTTCGGGACGGTGCACTGTTCAAAATCCCGCTGGATCTGCTTGATGTTGCTGGGGGTTATCCACCCCCCATCGTCATCACTACCTTCATCTTTCCTTTCTTCAAACCCATTCTCGTCCTCCTCACTTGGAACATCCTCGCCTTCGTCGATCTGAAACGTAACAGAATTCACGAACCTCCCGCCCACAGGAGCGAAAGGAGAAGCTAGTGTGCTGCCTGTCACCGGGAGGAGGTGGTCATCAGGGCCTTACCAGCAGCTCCTGCAGATCACGATCAATACTAGGCAAAGGGTTCCTCCAGAACATGAAGGAACTGAATTCCAGGTCCCCGGGCTCACCGGCTGGGTGTTCATGTTCCACTGCTTCTCGTGGGGGTTTAGGCTGAGGTTAAAATAACAATAATTTTAAGACCTGAACATTGAGAGGGCTACATATGATATGATACATATGACATACAAGTCAGACCAGACAGGGCGGGACAAACTATAATATTAGTCTAGGTAAATTTGGTTCAGTGTCAGCAGTTAACTTGTGGAGATGTGACTTGTGGCAGAAAGGGCATGATGTGTCTAAGGCAGCCGTGGGCAAACTACGGCCCGTTTGGCTGTTCTATCCAGCCCGCGGAGCCGAAAGAGGGGAGTGTTCTCTTGCTCTTCCCCCCGCTCCTTCACCAGCAGCAGTGTTAACATGGCAACGTCGGGAAACACAGCCGCAGCTTCTTCTTCTGAGTCCAGTTTAAGACTCCATTATGGCCCTCGAGAGTCAAAAAGTTTGCCCAGCCCTGGTCTAAGGAATTACCTTTGAGGGCAGATGGAAACCAGAAATGTGTAGAGGAGTTTCAGGGTGCTGAATCGATGAGCTCACTTTAGCCTTAAAAAGAAAAAAGTGACAGCTCTAAGCAAAGAAATACAGTTTGAAAATTCAGTATGGAAGAGTAATTAAAAGAGAAAACAATATTTTCCCTTGGTTACTGAAGTAAAAGATATTCAGTGTTTAAAAAAACTGGAGGTCTGGCCAGGTAGCTCAGTTGGTTAGAACATCACCCCAATGCCCCAAGATTGTGAGTTTGATCCCAGTCAGAGTACATACAAGAATCAACCAATGAATGCATAAATAAGTGGAACAACAAATCTATGTTTCCCTCTCTCTCAAATCAATAAAATTAAGAAAAAAAGAACCGGAAAATATAAATACATACAGTCACGTGCCGTGTAAAGACAAGGACACATTCTGGAAGATGCGTCATTAGGCAGTTTCCTCATTGTGCTAACATCACGGATGCACCTACATGAACCCGGGTGGTGTAGCCTGTTCCACACCGAGGCCATATGGCATACACGCCGTCCATGTGGTTCGTCGCTGACTGAGATGTCATTCTGTGGCACATGACTGAGTAATTACTCCGCGATTCCACCACCAAATGACCGCTTTGGGACATATCTTTTTTTGTCCTTATACATAAAGCTGTAACGAACACCATCATCCATAAACTCAAAAATATCTTTGTTTGTTTGTATATATCTTTTTATATGTCAATGATGTGAGAGGATCATTGATCAGCTGCCTTCTGCCCGACTGGGGATTGAGCCCGCAACTTGGGCATATGCCCTGACCAGGAACCGAACCATGACCCCCTGGTTCACAGGTTGGCGCTCAATCACTGAGCCACCGTGGCCGGGCAACTCAAAGGTATCTTTGGTTACATCCTTAGGATAAATGCCTAAGAGTGAACTGCTCTTAGTGAAAAGATAGGCTGTTTTAAAGCTTCTGATACAAAATACGTAAGTCCTGCCCAAAAGGCTGCAGGAAAAGGCAATTTCTAAGATTTAGGAATAGGTAGATGCCAAACAGAAACCCAGGTTTCAGTCACAGAGTCAGTACAACTATTCCATTCAAACCTCTTCCTCACCCCCACCCCACCCCAAAAAACACCCAAAAAACATTCCAGTGACATGCAGAAGTCTGTAGTTTAGGCATCACTTTTTTTAGACTTTCTGGAGTGAAGGACTCTAAACCTACATGAAAACAAGCTGAGGACAGTTCTAGCAGGTATAGGAACGTGAGCCCACTGTGGTTTTGATGACTTAAGGCAGAGGAGAGCAAGCAATTCTTTGTCAACACTATTTGAAATGAATTATTATAAGGTTAATTATCTGGCTCCCCAAATTCTCTGACCTTGAAAGAGCCAATGGGGCCCAGGCACAGATAGATTAGTCTCTTCAACCTGAGCAAGGCGGCCAAGTCCCTAAAAGCACAACAGGAACCCAGAATTATGCCCTCAGGGTTTAAAACAAAACAAAACAAACAAACAAAAAAACCCACAAGCACCTAGTGTTCTTGCTTCTGAAAAATTTCTAGTTAAAAAAAGTGAGAATGTCGCTTATTTTCACACTTTCTGCATTTTTCAAATTTAACCAATCTTCCCAAGAACCTACAAATCAAAAGACTTACACACATTTGCTAACTGCAATGTTTGACCCTTATTTGGAACCCGATCCAAACAAATAAACACTTTTATAAAATTGGGAAATGTGAATGCTAACTGGTTATTTTGATAAGACTAGGGAGTTATTATTAGAATGTTATAGGTATATAATAAGGATGGTTTTGTGGTTATTTTTAAAAAAATTCTTTATTAAGGTATTACAAATGTGTCCTCATCCCTCCCCCATTAAACCCCATCCTCCCCCCTGTGGTTATTTTTTAGAAGAGACACACCTATCAGTGAAATATGATGTCTAAGTTCAAAAGAGCTGGGTCAGTAGAGAGGAAAACAGATCATAAGTTGATAACGGTCGAAGCAGAACGGTGGGGACCTGGGGTCCATTCCCTCTACTTTTGTGTATCTGCTACTCCCCATAATAAAAAAGTCAAGACAACCCCCCCCCCAAAAAAAAACCCCAACAGTCCTCCCGATTTACCTTTTCTGGTTCTTGTTTTAAGTGTGACACCCCAACAAACTCTGCCTCCAGCTGGTAAGTAAGTGCCAGCACTTGGATGTCCGTGGCAGAGAGGCTGGGATAGTCTCCAGTTTTCTTTGAAAACTCAGTCACTGTAAACAAAAGAGTCTCAACTTCATTTAGAGGCAAAAAGTCATATGACCGCAGATAAAGATAATGAAAGTCTGAAAAGAACTTAGGATCAATATGTCAAGAAAAACCTCGGAAGGTCTCTTCTCTCTCAGTTCTAAAATTCTTTGACTTTTAACAATTGAGATTAATAGAATGGATGACCAGATTCCAAAATGGGATGGAAAGTTAATCCGGCCAATATCTGTTGTAGTCTATGATAGAAAAAAAATTATTGGTTGCTTTGTAATACATATTGGACAGTTTTTATGTATTAAAAAAACAACCCCCCCCCCATGTTTACCACATTGTAAATGCCAGCTGTTATTATTCTCCTGAGACATCAACAATAAACACGCCCAATAACATTTTCTGACATATTAACAGAAAGGGGTCTTGTGCTACACCGCCACATGGGACAGTAACTATATGGCTTACATTTCCTAAAAGCAGATACCAATTAACAGCAGCAATTGCACTGGGCATTTACTAGTATTATCTCACACGAGGCTTTGCATGTCATCCTTCAACCAAATCCCATTACATGCTATTAGTATTTGTTCTGAAAGATGCAGTAACTCTCCCTTAAAGCTTTCACAGTAAGTTGGTGGGAAAAGCTACAGAAGAGTCACAAACTAACAGTGTAGCAAACATTTTCATTATCAGCCCCTAAACCCCACAAACACTTCCAGTCACCTAGGACAGTGGTCGACAAACTCAATAGTCAACAGAGCCAAATAAATATCAACAGTACAGCGATTGAAAATTCTTTTGAGAGCCAAATTTTTTAAACTTAAACTATATAGGTAAGTACATCGTTATTCACTTAATGAGGGTCCTCCTAAGCTGGCTTTTGCTAAAAACGTCCTCAATCTGATTGAGGCGCGTTTGCTGAGGTCGACCCCTTCCAACGCTCCCATCCACACTGGTCTTGTATACTTGTTTCGGGACTTCTCCTGGGCGCCGTCACCTTGATCCCCAAGGAGAGATCAATGCTGACGCCCAAGCCAAGTGTAACTGTTTCGTTTTCTTTCAGGACTAATGGAAAGCCAAAGGCCACCCCTTGTTTTTCTGGGGTGAGCCTGGCCTCCACTTCCAAAACAATTATCCAAAACAATGACCCTCTGGATCTACCGAAAAGGCATGGGCAAGAGCCCTGGCCGGTTTGGCTCAGTGGATAGAGCGTCGGCCTGCGGACTGAAGGGCCCCAGGTTCGATTCCGGCCAAGGGCATGTACCTTGGTTTTGGGCACATCCCCAGTAGGGGGTGTGCAGGAGGCGGCTGATCGATGCTTCTCTCTCATCGATGTTTCTAACTCTCTATCTCTCTCCCTTCCTCTCTTTAAAAAAATCAATAAAATATATTTAAAAAAAAAGACATGGGCAAGAGTAAGAAATCCAGGCTCTTTTATTTTTAATCCAAACAAACTCACCGAATGGTTGCCAGGCACTAGCCACTATGCTCAGTGGCAGAGCTCACTTAACGCTCCAGCAACCGCGGAGGCGGGCGCTGTTATTGCTCCCATTTTACAGACGAGGCGATCGAGGCCGAGACGGTCTGAGTGTCACACCCAGGGCAGAGCCAGTAACTGGCAAGACCCCGCGGACGCAGATCGGGAAGCATTTTCCTCCCACCGCCTCCCGAGAACCTGAGGTTCCTAAACCAGCTGCTGATCAAGGGGCCCCACCCCAACGCGCACCCGAGCCGGCCCCA